GAGGGAGGGAGGGAGGGAGGGAGAGAGAGAGGCAGAGAGGAGAGAGAGGGAGAGAGAGAGAGAAAGAGAGAGAGAGAGAGAGAGAGAGAGAGAGAGAGAGAGCAACACCACCTCCATTTTCCCGGAGGTGGTGGGATTCTTCAGCGCCCCGTGCGGACTAATTCGGTCCTCTAGAAGTTGTATCGAGCAGCTGTGTTTCAATGTGGAATTACGTACGGGACAGCTCCTGGGCACTCATACCAGACATGTGTCTTTTGGTAACAAAATACTTCTTGTGTGCAGACCGCACGGACATAAAGCCAGAAACTAAACGACTATCTCCGACCGCCCCTGACGAGCATGTCACAAGTCAAGACGCTGAGAATCAAACATGATGCGAGATAGCTACTTGTATTTTGGGGATTTAACATTGGCATGGTTGGAAAAGGTAAGGAAGAACTAGCTGCAGATACCCGTCATTCCGTACTGTGCCGACATGGCGATTTGCCGCCAGAATGACATGATGAAAATGGCACCCAATGACAGTACCAATCAGAACGTCAATGGCTGACTTCTCTGGGTGAATGTCCCTTGCGATAATTCTACAGTTAGCTTGTCACTGATCTTTTCCATGTGTCACAGCCTATGGCCTGTCGAGCTAACTCTGTGTTTTATGGGAAAAGATTACTACTTCGTGGCTCTGTACAACGTTCTTTCATCAACGCCAAAAGCACTGAACGCCAGCAGAAATATGTCTGACATGTACTGGATTGTCAAAAGCAATACGTTAACAATGACCTACCTCTGACATACCGGTTCCTTCAAGGCTGATTCAGAAAATGCGATAAAACCAAACGCTGTCACAGCAACGAGCCTCTCAGTGAGCTAAACGACGTCTACATACCCAAGATGGACGTTTATAGAGTCCCCCAAGATTTATATAGGCTAGATCTTATGATAAGTGTAATCAAGTGCACTATCAGGGGAACTGACACATGTCTTTCACATACTCTAGTGAGTGCCTTAAAGGGCCGTCTATACATGGCAATGAAGTGAAGCCGTTCTAATTTCTGCTGAATAATGATTTTCATATCACTGTTTCAGTTGAATGTAAGGTTTCGGCCTTTTCTCCCTACAATTGGTGAACTTTGAAATGCGTAAAACAGTTAAATCATTAACATTCAGTAGACATTCCTTCTTACCGCGTGAATAACAAAACCGATAGATACTTCTTTAAATCTTGTCATTACTTTTGGCCCACATCGTGCTCATGTAGTGGTAACTGTTACTAACAGACAAACAAATTCAAACGCCGGCCCTGCACTTACCGAATCATAAACATTACCGTATGGACTATAATAAACATTAGAAAAATATCCATAGCTAAAATTATACTGCAAAACACGTCTTTTCCGATGCGCGGTCGAAGCTGCATTATAATGACATGGTTGAGGCTTTCCGTGATGTGTATCACCCCCCCCCCCATCCTCCTGAACATCTGACTGATGACGACAGCTGTGATAGCTGAGCCAATCGCAGGGCTGCTAGATCTGTTGTAGAATGCAACAAGTGAACTATTTTTATACTTCGCTAAGGATTCTTCCGACGCTGATGGCCTTAACGTTTTCGTTTTGTCCATATTCATTGCGATTTTTTTTGAAACTCGGAAAGTCGTAAAGTTTTTTTTATAAAAATATCCCCACGAAAAATGATTCGTTTGTATAGAACACATGATTTAGTCAATGCAACGATATTGTAATTCCATAGAAATGAACAACATCTCCGGATGGCTGGCGCGGATTCTTGCCATAATGTTCATGTTTTATTCATTTGAAATAAATTTACAAAAAATATTTAACAACGTTACACGTCACATGGATTACAACCTCTAGCTTACAAATAGATTCGGCACTCAATTTCACACAGTTGATGACTTTTGAAACCAAATGTAATCATTTATGTAAGAGTTGATTAGATTTGTGTCAGGTGACTTGACACGACATGCTAAAGTCACCGCCGACTATGGCTAGTTTGCACCAAACGGGATTTTTCGAAAAACAAATAGCGATAATTCTATTTGGAGTGCGATAACGAGGTAGCGAACTGGGATATAACGGGTACAGTATATCCTGCTTGTGTTTCGTTAACGACAGGCTGAAAGTAAAATAATTACTGAATCGATCATATAATAACTAGTTATTAGCTATATGTTCAGTGAATACTATTGAGTTTGTCTGGTCCAGCTGCAGTGCGCCTGTGCCAATAATGACTAGCTGTTCCAAAAGCGTCCCTGACATGTGAGGCATTCTCTCAGCAGAGAGAAAAAATGGAGTGCTAGCATCTTTGCTGGGGGCTCTGATTCCAGCCAGACATATCATATAACAACGACGCAAAATTCCCTCCAACTTTGTTATTGATGATGCTGATAAATGTAACATCTGTCGTATTTCAGAACAGACCTGTATGGGCCTGATAAAGTCAGGATTGAGGACCTTACTTGTCCTTATGTTGTTACTAAATGTCGTGAAATATGTACCTTTGCCTCGGACATATTTGTCGATCCCGCCTATGCGCTAGGAATGTGACCCAAGTAAATACAACGTCGTTTTACATCTAATCACGAAACACAGTCGGAGACCGCGCAGTGTCAGTTTTTGTGCCGTGCTTGTTAAGGCCTTTGGAGCTGTTCATGTGTTCAAAAGGATGGAACCGTAGACGGAGGGGGTCGTGCTCTAGTGCCAAATATGGCGCCTGCAATGCGCCATGCCGTGAATAGCGGAGCTGACATTTGTGGCATCTCCGCGACGATATCACATCACTATCACTGGAAATTATCTCTGCAGAAAATCTTATGTTTCTACTCAAGAAGTGCAGCCACGATGCTGAGAATTGTTTCCCACTCGTAGTCTTTGTACCTCTCTGCTCAAAGACGTGTTGCAGTCATACAAGAAACCAGTGCACCCTGAGAACTCAATCAGGACTATCTGTACAAAACCTCGTTTTTACCACGCTGTCTACACTGGCATTGCCTGACTTCTGACAGAAACACCAGAAGAAAGGGAACATGTTCCTTCTGTATCGAAAGACGTGCATGTACTGTTGTGTCACGGCGTTGGCCCAGACCCAGACTGTCTAACTTTGATAAACCAGACAAGTCCGGTCCTTTCCTATCTTGCCAGATAAAGACGGCTACATTAAGTATAGGACGAGTCCTGACTTACCATGTTTGGTGGGCTTCTTTATCACGGGCAGCCAGAAAAACGAGACAGATAAGCCGACACAGGGTCCAGAGGGAGTCTGACAACTAATCCGGACGTATCGCTTAAGGCTTTTATAAGCCTAAATATAGCTGGCCGGGAGATAGGCTTTCACCTAGCGGGATTGGACGACGTCATCACGGCTATGTCGTTGATAATTCAACATGACGACCACAGGATGGGGGAATCCCACTTTCTTTGTCGTGATGTAACATGCGTATGGAGATTTCCATCATACTGTTTATGCACCGGATTCGACAGTGGACATCTTTTACTAGTATTTCCTCGTTAACAGTGTAAACCATCTTTGATAAGATGAGCCATTCCTAACACTGTCAAAATTTGTGCAGTACGTTGGTAGAACCGTTAGTTCTTGAAACGCGTATGTTCGTTATATTATTATAAGTACTCCCCTAGTTTACCTTTTAACTAGTACTTTGGCCGATCTCTAGAAAAAGGAAAGGGTGAATTATAACTGTAACAGTAGTGTGAGTAGAAACGGCTTCAGATCAGCTCCGGTGCCGGTAACTATCACGATTTTTCACGAAGTCTAAAATTATACATACGGACATAATTTCATGACTTACGTTTCCGGCCGCGCTCCTTATTGTTGTTTTTTAAGTTTTTTTTTTAATATCTAGCTATAAGATGTCTCTAAACCCTCTTTCGCTTAAAACTCCTGTCACACATAGCCGAATGTGGTCTCTCCAACACTAGCAGAACCATGGTTAGGAGTATATCATGAGCAAGGTTGGTTGGTGTTTGGTTGGTGTTTGCGCCAGCCGAATGTTTCAAAATGTTTCAAACATTCTGGTGTTACCAGGAGTTTCGCCATGGGAGTTGGCTGGTGAGCTTAAAAATCAAATTCGATTTGATTCGTATAGAAAGGTTGGCGTGGTGAAAATTCGGTCAGACTGCTCCAGAACGTTAACCAACCTTGGTCGTGGGAAGTGGGAAGGTTCTGAATGTGTGACAGGAGCTTAAAGAAATAGGAATATCGCATTGTTCAATTGTTCATGAATCTAGTTTGAGAAACTTTAACAATGTTGTTTGTACGGATTGTGGTTAGGGCACGGCACTGATATGGGAATTTTAATCAGCAGAAGAATGAATAGGAAGATTTCGGGTGTAAAATCTCCACCTCACTTCGTCTTTACGACAGGTATAGCTACTGCAAAGTCGTTCGGACAGTTGGAGTGGCCAAGATTTTTCACTTTATTTGCAGAGATGGTGCAGAAAGATATAATCACGTTCATAAATATGAAGTCGTGCTGAGATGAATACATTTAAGGCATCCAATGCGATTTCAGGTCGGCAAAACCAAAATATGCTACAAAAGAAGTGTCTTATATTGTCATTTACTGACATTTCGTAGGACATACTTTGTCATCATTTCATAGTTTCGGCGTTTAGAATATAAAAAAAAAAGCTACGTGACGACTCCCATTATTATTGCGCCACGTATAAATAGATAGATCCAGTCCGTCAACGACATCACATTTTGCACCAAATATATCAATATGCTGTGGGGCAGAGTTGATTCAACTTACATAAAAATAGAACCAGAAAATTGACTTTGAAAATCTAGGTTTGTCGATCTGCACTCGCTTTGTGCGCCCTTAACCCTCTCCTGAGAACCAGAAGTGGCACGTTAAACACGTTATTGGCCAGTCTTAAGGAGCCTCGCAATCTCACACGTTAGGCGTTCATTTTTTTTCGCCAAGGGAACTTTATCTTGTTTTCAGTGCTCCGAAAATTGATACACGCAGACAGTTTAGTAAGGCCTGCCCGAAACTTGTGGAATGGTCCATTTTCTCTTCTGTTTCAAAAGGAGAAGAGAAAAGGAAAGAGAGCGGGTGTCCCGCGTCGTCGCCAGACGATGCCTTTCGTTCCAAAATGTCCATTTCGCGTTTATTCGTAAAGCGACAATGCTTACAGTTGGAATTTCGCGAGTTCCAGTTGCAGATGAAGGTCTATTATCCTCATTACCCCTGGGAAGGAGGCATTATTCCGCGGAAGGGTTGTGTTAGTGGTCGATGTTATTGTGTTCGCAGCTGTAATTCACACTTGGCTGGTCGGATTTCTTTGGGTCTCGGTATAGATAAATTTGGCAACTGGGTCCAGATGATGCGCTTGTTTTCCTGTTTTTGTTTTGTTATTCTGTATCTGTGTTTTCGAGTGTCGAAATAAAATATTAGGACGGCTTTTGGACACCCCCGCTTCGCTGGCAGTGGGTTACGATTTATGGTTTTTGCTGTAGTTTGAGGGTATGCCGGGTTTTATCATTCTGACAAAGGGTAAAAAATAGGGGGTGTTTGGCCCGATAGAAACTTGGTTTTCATAGAACGCCGACGCCAGCGGTCGCTAACCATGTTACACCGTGTTACGCCGGTGTGTTACGCCAACGTGGTTATACCTGCTCTAAACGTACAGATACATACACAACAGCAAGATGACGCCACCATTCACTGACTACACTACATGCACCCGGAAGTATGAAATATTTAATTTCTTCCCGAGTTTTCACTAGTGTATGATGATTTATTGTGTCAAGAGTACACAAACACACTACCACCACTTTTTTCTTAATTCGTCTTTTGTCAGCTTTCATACTAGATACTTACTAAATAAATGTGTTAAATATTACATTTACGTAGTAGAAACTTGTAAGCTGGTAAGAGCATTTTCAATTGCATCTATATCTAATGTTAATGTAACAAGTTATGTAGAAGCTATTCATCATGTCTACATGATCATTATAGATCCTGTATCATTTAAAGAGAAATCAATCTACGGTCAAACCTGGTCTCAACAATCCCTCACAGGGCTTGGAAAAATGGTTGGTGAAGGGGAGTGTTTGCTTCAGATAAACGGGTTAGATGGCTGATCCATTACATTAGCAAACAAGAAATCTGAGATTTTAAACCTTTGGAAATAACACATGTGATTGGTTTATTTCTCTCGCTAAAATTCCACAGCCTCGCAGTGTGCGCCAAGTGCGTACTGAAGTGAAATGGGAATACGAATTTAACTAATGTCTAAAAGGATTATCGTTTATAAATACTTGTACCTATTTCAACACATTGATTAAATATAGTTAGTTACAATAAAAAAAACATGACAACTGCTGAAAATTTCAGCCATCATATTATCAACAGCAATGTTAACAGTAACGCTACAAGAAAAAGATACATCACAGAAAAATACCCTCCCACCCTTCATGAAAGTAGCCACAGTGCCGCCAATAACTGATAACTGATCTGTCTAACAAACAGGTCAGCGATCCCTTCGCACGCCTGCGTTCTATGGTCTTCTATGAAAACCTACCGAACACCCCTATGTTCAACCCCGAATGGTAAAACCCTACGGACTTCCGCATGCACTTTCCCAACAGTCCAAACCATTAGTCGTAACCACCGCCGGCAACATGGGGGTGTCCAGAGGGTTCCAAATATTTCATTTCGACGCTCGAAAAACAGATACAATTAAAACAAGAATTCGGAGATCTCATACCTCCATGAAATATATGAGTTTTTGTAAATGATTTTTTTGTCTCATTGACTATGGAAATTAGGTCGTAAGTAGCATGATCAAGTTTAATTTATGGTTTTCTAAATTCAAATGACAATATTTTTTCGCGTAAAATCCCTGTCCTTTGTCATACTTCATTTCAACATGTCCTTATTGATTATGCAAATGACCTCTCATTAACATAATATATGCATAGTGGTGCTAACCTTAAATAACTTACACATGTCATAAGGTATAAAATTCCCACCATTCACCAATAAGGAGTCACAGAATTTTCACATTAATTATGCAAATTAGGTCCTCTGTTGATGTTCCGTCTGCCACAGATTAAATAGATTACATGTACTATCATATGTAGAATTTCCTCCTTAATTATGCAAATTGAGTCCTCATTTGCGTAATTTGCATTCAGTTATGTACAACTCTCTCTCAGCTACCTACACACCAAAAATGATGAAAATATGTTGTTCCTATCTGGACTTTCAAAGATTCGCCAGAAAGTCCCCTGCAGTTCCAGAGCAATCTGCTAGGGGTACCAAACCCACACCACTTATTCCTCATAGGAAGAGCTAACTGTCACCAAAAAATCAAGACCATAGCTTGTTCAGGACAAAAGATACAAAAACCGGAAGTTCTGCTGCAGTACCAAGGTCATCCACCAGGAGGCCCATATTTGACCGTGACCTTACCAGCATACCAAATATCATCACAATCCATAAAGGCGTTCTGAAGTTATGCTGACTACAAATGCATGTGCGGAAACACAAACAAACACCCCCCCCAAAAAAAAAACAACACCTCCATTTTCATAGAGGTAGAAAAACACCAACCGCATCATCTGGACCAATACCTGATCATATACCGAGAACCCAAGAAACCCGTCCAACCCACCGTGAGTTACATCTGTGAATACACAAACACCTACAGAAACAAGAACCTTCGGGTAATGATACACCTTTTTGATTCAAGAGAAACGTGAATTCACACAGTTTATAAACTCCATAGTGTTGATAGGGACATGAATGCACAAAGAGTGGTTACTGGTTGGTAAACCTGTTAGTTGGCAGAGCGGAGGGTCTTACTTTGACTATGTAAAACTGGACGGGACAGTTTTAATGTGGTCTGTGACAGGGGATGACTGGCCGACCAGGTACAATGTAAGACACGGTACTAGATGATACTGAAGTCAATTCTCTAAATTTGTCGACATTATTTGAGACTTTCGGCTGATAGAGTTAGAGTGAGATATCACAAGCTCTGCCCTTATCCAGTTTACCCGATTAAAAAAAAACACTGCTGCAGCCACTGATTTGGTGCTCATCAAACATGCTCACCGCAGCATGTTATAGAAAAAATAGGTAACATTGTTGCTACGGTTTCCTGTCTCCGAGCAGTTTGTCGGCATGCTTATGCGTGCAGGTCTTCCTCCGATAACAGCACCTTATATATTATAATTTATATAGCAAATGTGCACACTGAGCAGACACCTGCTCTAGTCTAAGGTTTAGTAAAGGTACCAGGGATAGCTGTGGTCTTATCGTAGTTTTATTGGG